ACAGAACTTTCAGACGGTAGCCTGGCCAGTCATGAAACTGGTTTTCAAAGCTTCTCTGATGCACAGCGCTTCCTGGTGTGCTCTTCTAATCGCCCTGGTGTCTGGCTGCGCATAATCAGCAGACAGGCGATTTGCCTCAGCCTCCCACCCCGCCATAAAGGTCTCCCCCTTACTCTCACAGAGATTGTGGAGCACACAGCAAGCAGCAATAACAATGGGGATATTGGTTTGGCTGAGGTCTGAACGAGTCAGTAAAGTGCGCCAGGACCTTTTAAATGGCCAAATGCACATTCCACCACCATTCTGCACTTGCTCAGCTTGTAGTTGAACAGCTCCTGACTCCTGTCCAGGCTGCCTGTGTATGGCTTCATGAGCCATGGCATTAAGGGGTAGGCTGGGTCCCTAAGGATAACTATAGGCATTTCAACATCCCCAACGGTTATTTTCTGGTCCGGGAAGTAAGTCCCTTGCTGCAGCCGTTTAAACAGAGTAGTGTTCCTGAAGACGCGAGCGTCATGAACCCTTCCTGGCCAGCCCACGTTGATGTTGGTGAAACGTCCCCTGTGATCCACCAGTGCTTGCAGCACCATTGAAAAATTAAAAATTAATGGAGATATCCTAGAACTGGAAGGGACCTTGAAAGGTCATCAAGTCCAGCCCCCTGCCTTCGCTAGCAGGACCAAGTACTAATTTTGCCCCAGCTCCCTAAGTGGCCCCCTCAAGGATTGAACTCACAACCCTGGGTTTAGCAGGCCAATGCTCAAGCCACTGAGCTATCCCACCCCCCGCAAGTAACCCTTGTGGTTTATGTACGGGTACCCTGGTGCTCCGGTGCCAAGATAGGTATATGGGTTCCATCTATCGTCCCACCACAGTTAGGGAATCCCATTGCAGCAAAGCCATCCACTATGGCCTGCACATTTCCCAGAGTCACTACCTTTCGTAGCAGCAGCTCAATGATTGCTTTGGCTACTTGCATGACAGCAGCCCCCACAGTAGATTTGCCCACTCCAAATTGATTCTCAACTGACCGGTAGCTGTCTGGCATTGCAAGCTTCCACAGGGCTATCGCCACTCGCTTCTCAACTGTGAGGGCTGCTCTCATCCTGGTATTCTGGTGCTTCACGGCAGGGGAAAGCAAGTCACAACGTTCCATGAAAGTGCCCTTACGCATGCGAAAGTTTCGCAGCCACTGGGAATCGTCCCAGACCTGCAACACTATGCAGTTCCACCAGTCTGTGCTTGTTTCCCGGGCCCAGAATTGGCGTTCCACGGATAGAACCTGCCCCATCAACAACATGATCTCCAAAGTGCCGGGACCCATGGTTTGAGAGACGTCTGTGTCCGTGTTCATGTCCTCATCACTCTCGTCGACGCGCTGCCGTCGCCGCCTTCTCCTTGCCTCATTTTTCTGGTCCTGGTTCAGCATAAACTGCACGATAATGCGCGAGGTGTTTACAATGTTCATGACTGCTGTCTTGAGCTGAGCGGGCGCCATGCTTGCTGTGGTATGGCGTTTGCTGTGTTCACCCAGGAAATAAGGCGCGAAACGGTTGTCTGCCATTGCTTTCATGGAGGGAGGGGTGAGGCTGTACCCAGAACAACCTGCGGCAATATTTTTTGCCCCATCAGGCGCTGGGATCTCAACCCAGAATTCCAATGGGCGGGGGAGACTGCGGGAACTATGGGATAGCTATGGGATAACTACCCACAGTGCAACGCTCCGGAAATAGACGCTAGCCCCGGTACATGGATGCACACCGCCGAATTAATGTGCTTAGTGTGGCCGCATACATTCGACTTTATACAATGTTTCCAAAATTCGAATTCTGTAAATTCAGATTAATCCCGTAGTGTAGACATACCCTAAGAATCAAATATGCATGGATTATGTGCCTGGAAACTAGTTATTTATGTCATTATTAGAAAGTTGTATATACAGAGTGATTTAATCCTGTATAGAGGGACCATCAGGTCCTCAACATTTAGGCCACTGGGGTCTTGAGTGGATGCAGGACCATGCCTGAGTCCTCTTTATTGGTATGAATTTCTCCCAATATGAACTCAGATACTGCACTGCCTGCCTGACAGTGATTCAGAGAACAGCTCAATCTGTTCTTAACTGGAACAAAATGTTCAAAGAGTCAGACTGATTAAGATCTACACTATTAATTCAGAGCACACATTTCCCAAATAAAATACTTTTTTTTAAATTTGATTAAATAAATCTATTTTCCTTATACACAAATGCCAAACTCTATTAGGCATCTAACTATCAGGACTACATATCTCAAATGATTGAGGTTAAATATATGTTTGCTGGTCAGCCTGATGGCTTATTGACTGGTTTTCAAACCTACCCTCAGATTCCTACACAATGGATCAGCAGAGAAAAGGAATATCATTGAAGTTGCTTTCTTATACCTTACACCACCCCCAGATGTGCCTGTATGCACACATATTCACACTGAAATGTGCTACATCATGTCCATACACCCTGCAGTATCCAGGCTGAAAGCAGCAGTATCATGAAGATCTCAGTTTCAGCTGAAAAATGTTTGTAGGTTGCTATTGGGGAATAAGGACTTTAAAATGGAGATATGTTGTCACTCAAAATAAAGGAGTGAGTGAAAGCCCAACACTCGTCTTTGGGCCATTCCAATAGTTATCAGGTTGGCGATCTTGCTTCATGTCCCATTTTTGGGCAGGGTCAGAATGAGTAAGGGGCAGATCAAACTTGAGTCGTTTATAGCTAATACATGAAAAATACCATCCCAGAAGAGCCAAATAATAATCTTAGCAGAAAAAGCACGTATGATAAGATTGCTTGGGATGGGAAAATGGATGGCTTATCGAGCAGGGTATCACCATGTGATATGAATGGAGTAGGGTCAATAAATTACTGAAAAATCATTTGTTTGATGAATTTCTTCAAATTCGCTGCAAATGGATTGTCGTTTTCTGAATTTGTTTCCTATTCAAAATGAATCATCAAGCTGCTGATAGATACTGGGTAATATTTGCAATTAGTTCTTAGGCTGTACTATGTCGGCAAACAGAATGTGAAATCCAACCTGGTTTGATCAGATGCAGGTTGTGGTATGTTTCCGTATCCTGACTGCATGAACACTGTAAAAACTATCAGCATGCTGGTCAGAAAACTCATAATTACAAAGTCAAAATTTACTTTCACAACTGGCAAAAGGATCATAGAACAAAGTCCAATATTGCCAATCCACTGTAGCACTAGTCTTCTGTATTTTAAAGTGACAAACTTTTTTCCACCTATGTTCATAAAAATATCAAATTACTGGCTGCCATATTCTGGAGGGTCATCCAGAGCAGTGAGGGGTTGTGTCATCACCTGCCTTGGTGCCTTAAAATTCTCTGCTGCTGTAGCAACCCTGTCTGGATGCTCCCAGCCAGCATACAAGCATGCACTGAGTGTTAGTGATAAGCAACCCTGGACCAGGAGTTCTGACTCAGCAGCTTGCTTGTTACCCCACAACCACACTCTGGCCTCCACCAGTCTTGGTTACACCTGGAAAGATGATTCCCATCATCCCCCAGTCCCGAATTTTCCCACAATCATGTGCTGTACAAAGTCCAGCCCTCTCCAGGACCATTCAGAGGAATAATAAGGTTCGTTTGCTCCTCTAACGGGACAAACTGCATAGTTATTACTTTAACTGGAGTTAACTAGCACTTCAGTTCAAACACAGCACTGGGTTGGTTTAGAAGATTAAAAGTAAAAACAGTTTATTAACAAAAGGAAATGGGATTTAAGGGAGTTCAAGTATAGAGGATAGAGTTAGAAATGGATACAAGCAAATAAAAGTGAAAAATGCTTTCTAGACACTAAGCCTTGATAAAACTACAATCTTGGTTCAAGGTAAGATTTTTTTGCCACACTTCCTTCCTGCGAGATGGCTGACCACCTTCTAGGTCAGGACCTCCCACAAAGTCCAGAGTACTTGGTTCCATTGTCTTCTTAGGTGAAAGATAACTTGGGGTTGTTTGCCCCTCTCTTTTATAGTCCAGTAAACTTTTAAATGGATTCTTCTGAAGATTACCCCCAAAGTAAAGTTCATTCAAGCTGTGAGGAAGGCGCCATGGAGTCTGAAGGTGAAGGAAGTTCCATGCTGGTTTCTTCCCTTGCTGGTGTTTGCTAAAAGGCAAATTGACCTGTTCCTGCAATCTCCTCCCCATGCTGTGATGCTGATTCGTTATCTCCTCCCCTAATCAGCTTGATGGCTTAGTTTACCTTTTATGTAAATATATTTCCATTGTCTCTTAATGAATCTTGGAAGTATCTTCAAGGTGGATGCACCACATTCCTTTGTCTAGGGTGGGGTAACTTCAGCCCTGCCTGGCAGACATACTTTAAGAACATAATTCCCAATATTTTTGTAATTTTGAATTTCTCCTCTGTACTTACACCGTGCAATAATATTAACGATCTGTATGTTATTAGCTTTTTATTCATATTGTACATGACACTTTTAAATACTGGTTATGACATTAATGAATTGGGGCACACTGAAATGGTCAGGCCAGTTGAAACTCACTACCTGATACCATTGAGACCCTTGCCCTCTTGCATTGGGATGCTGTTAGGGTCACACTGGCCTAAGGATGGAGTTGATAACAGTGGATATTGTATAGAACTATTCCTTTCACTATGAGCTTTCCGAATGCCAATTATTTTAACAAGATACTTTGTTTGGTATTAATACAGATTAATACTTTTTTGTTTCTGTAGCTATTATATATCATAAGCAAACTTTACCTAATGGGTTGCTTAGACACTGATAGAAATAAGTGAGACATTAATTAGAAATAACTGGCCAATTATATACAGAAATACTCTTGAAACTGTGACTTGAATATGATCTAGTTAAGCTTCACAAAAAAATTACTGTTTAGTTCCTTCTTATGTTATGCAGCTGGTTGAACATAATTAGTGACAATTAAAATAAAGTGATAATTATTTTGTTTACCTTAGACACGGGAACAGTCTGTAGTTTCTTGTGGCTTCAAAGGAAGTGGTATGGAACATTCGGCCTCTAAAGTGAAAAGAGTGGATTTGGGTTTATTTCCTGGTTTTGTGAAAAGAAGGAATATTTCAACAGTGCATCTTTGCTTGTTTTCATTTTTTTTTCAAAAACTATGATGTGGCATCAGAGGAAAGTCTTATGGAAGAGCCACAAAATAAAGAAACATTTTCCACAAACTCACTTACCTAACCCCAGTGGGACTAGGGCCACAGTAATTACAGAGCTAGCTGAAATTTTTCTTACCAAAGTTTTCCATCAGAAAAATTCCATTTAATTTAAATCTTCCACAAGAATGTGTTACTTTCAACAATATTTTGTTAAAAATAAAATGCATTGATCAAATCAAAGTGTTCTGTTTTGATATTTTCAGAATGGAATATTTTAGTTTTTCATTTGAAAATACGTTTTTGTTTGGAAGTTTATCTTATATTATAAAAAATAAGAAGTCAAAAGCAAAACAAAACATTTTCAGTTGATTTTTTTCCCCAAAAGTCTTATTGTATGGGAAATTTCCAAATTCTCGTTTTGCATTCCAATTTGGACCCAAAACAAAGTTTGAAATTATAGCATTTCCTGCAAAGTAGAAATTCCAGTTCTTTCACAGCCCTAGAAATAAAGTAAATACATGATGAAATTGTAGCAGATACTTAAGACCAAGACGATGAGAATGATATGAACATCATTTCACTTCTTTTGGAAGCACTCGTCACACACTCGATTAGAAAAATTACAGGAAAAGCGTCTGCTCAGGACCTGAGCTATCAAGCCAATACTTCTGCATTAAAAGAGCGAGAGAAAGCAATAATAAGCCTGTATCACTGTGAAATAATAGCAAAAAAGCATCCTCATCAGCTTTTAATAGGACTGTACTCAGCAAATAAATAGATTACAATGGCTCTCTCTCAGTCTTGATCCCTGATTTGAATCAGTCACATCTATAGAGAGACTCATGTTCTGCCTCCAATATGCCCAGATATTTATAACTCCTGTTACTGTTTCATGCACTGAAAATTTGTCTGCACGGTTATCACTACAAAGGACATTGTCCTATCAAGACAGATTAATTCTAAAAGAAGAATCCCTTTTGTAGAGGATCAGGCCGTAATAGATGAAGAGGTTATGAATGTTCTGCCTCTCCTTGGGATGTCAAACAGCCATAATACACAAGTCAAACTCGAAAGGTAAATAAGGCACTTTCGTGTCTCAAAGGCCAGGATTACTGCAATACGCTTTATTTGAGTATATGCTTAAAAACCAATAACAGCTTGCGCTACTGTAGAACAGAGCAGCATGACTGCTCAAAGGGCTGCAAGAGTCAATGATTTCTATGTTCTAAGAATTGCACTAGCTGCCTCTTTTCCTGCTAGGGCACGTCAAGGCCCATTAGTCTTTAAAGCTGTAAGTAACAGCTGTTGCTCCTTACCTCATTATTGCAGGGGTGGGGGGGAACCAAAGCATTGAATGCTGAACTTAGGGGAAGCAGGATCAAGTTTACTCAGAGATTTGGGGGCATGAAAGAGGCTGTGATCTCTCTCCCCAAACATGCCACTGAAGATTTTCTGAGGGCCATGGTGGGTGTGGAACAGAGTTGCAGGGTACTGTGGCAGTGCAGTTACTCTGAGCAAGTAAATTGTACTGACCAGGCCAAATTTCAGAAGCCAATGGGAGTCTGATATTGACTTCAGCATGACCAGGACCTGGCCCGTTATCTTTAAGAAAGGTAATTTAAAAAACAAGAGAGTCATTTTCTACACTGAGATAAATTCCACACAGCTCCTACTGAAGCCATTTCAATATTTCAATAGAAATCCACAATCTTCCAGCAAAGCTTGGGGAATGACATCAACATTCATAAAGTTGCAGCAAAGTTATTTTTTAGAATTAGAAGGTGGGGGAGACATTTTGCACTAGCTGTTATCTCCAGCAATATTGGCTTTGCCTTGAAAATCTACCCTTAAAAAAGGTTTAAAAATCAGCAGCCTTTAGCTGTACTGCAATATGAAACTGCACTACTTCTTCAGGTGGGTAAAGCTTAGATGTTTCTCCTATTAGTAGCTACATATTTAGGGCTCATCTTTCTGCTCAGACTTGTGGAAATGGCTCTCACTGAATAAGTTGGAGTCATGTGCTACCAAGGGTGGAGCTAGTCCCTTCATGTAAAATGATAATAGAAAAATAAACCCAAACCTTTCTTTAACTTTGAATATTATCAGGTTAAAAAAGTAAAGTCCTTTGTGTTTTAAGTTCTCAAAACAAACAACTCACACGTATTTAATGAATTCTTAGCTTTATTGGCATAACACCATTGTCCAGCATAATCATTCAGAAAAAAAAAGTCTTTTAATTAAGAGATCTGCTTTGGTACATTTTCACTTGTGCTGGTATTACGTTTCCTTTCCACTATATGTTTGCTCAGCTCTGCCCAGAGCATGCTCAACTGTTTGTACAGTAACAGAACTCCATTTCTCCAATAAAGATAAAAGAGTGGCTAGAAATAGAAGAACTCAGCTGATAAAACTAACAATGGATATACAGGGCAGTTTTGCACTCAGGGGCAGCTCTATGTATTTTGCCGCCCTAAGCATGGCAGTCAGGCAGCCTTCAGTGGCATGTCTGGAGGAGGTCCGCCGGTCCCGCGCCTTCGGCGTCCCCTTCGCTGAATTGCCGCCGAAGCCGCGGGACCGGCGGACCTCCCGCAGGCATGCCTCCAAAGGCGGCCTGACTGCCACCCTCACAGCGACCGGCAGGCCGCCCCCCACAGCTTGCCGCCCCAGGCATGCACTTGGAGCACTGGTGTCTGGAGCTGCCGCTGTTTGCACTTAAAGGAGATTTTTGTGCAAAGTAGATTAGGACTGTCACTTTACTTCTTCACATGTGTGTATTGCACAGCACTGAAATGGAATACAAATAAATATGGTATGTAGCAAGACCTCTGCAGGTTAAACAAATGAAAACTTAGCCAACTTTTGTCTTATGCAAGGACTTGTTCCTATACAAGTACTTGCTCTGCTTTGACATTTAAATCTATAGCTAGATATTAGAAAACAGCAAAGCAGCTCTGGAATGATTTGGGGACTAGACTTCCAATCCCAAGCAATAAGGAGCACCGTGAGAAGGCTGCATGGGAAAGGAAAGATGGTCCAGTGGTTAAAATGCTAGCTTGATGTGAGTACCATACGGATAGAATACCAGCACTAGCTTTCCATTTTGTAGCTTTTAGAAATTTTTGTTAATCGAATCTCAATGCAATTTTTTGTATGCACTGCTTCTTAGCACCTAATATTGCATATTGTTAAATATATATGTCCCTGGTATCTCTGATCTATAAGCACTAGCTCATATTTAGTAGAACGAATGTTGAGATTACCATGTAAGGGCATTGGAAACTCAATCTGCTCTACTTGCTATACAGCTGAAAGCAACCTTAAGTTGCTACATGTGTTCTTGCTACTGACCCTTAGAAACTCACCTCTCACACAAAGAGCAACTGCTCTGCTAAGATAATGATCTGCCATTGGTGTTTTGTTCAGTCTTCTGCTAAGACTTACCTTAGCTTTTGAATAATAACTTCACACTGTTGAACCCTTTACATGGAAAATATTTTTTAAAACATGTAATGTCTTTATATATGTTTCACATGTGTATCTCATTAGAATTTATGAGATCGTCTGGTCTTAACAAGATTTATTTAAAAAAAAAAAAAAAAAAAAGACTACAACAAACACCTCTGAGAAAGGAGCAAGCAGCCTGATTGCTTTT